AGATTCACTGCTTAATTCTACCAAACTGTGATTGGAACCTGTAACTTCAGATTAATAGGTTCAAAAGTATTCTATGAGGTCTTTTAAGTAAAGGGAACAGGGATAATTGAATAATTGCTATTTTTAATCACATTTATCTTTCGCTTGTCTGGCTGAAGAAGCTAAGACTGTATCAAATAAGGGGAGAGTGGGCATCCTTGTTTTGTTCTTGACTTAAAGGATACTCAGGTTGTCTTCATTTAATATAATACTGTCTATTGGTTTGTTCAAACTTAGCCAATGCCTTTTTTTGTGTCAATTTTAACAATCATATCTGTTTTTAAGTTTATCCATATGGCATATTACAGCTTATTGACTTACAAATATTGAACCAACTTTGCCTTTTGGGAATGAAGCTTCCTTGTTTACAAGGCATGATCTTCTTAATGTGTTCTTGCATTTGTTTTGCAAGTAAAAGGTATTTAAGAATCTCTGTTCAAAGAAACTGCCTGCAGTTTTCTTTCATTCTTTTACTGTTTTTACCTGGTTTTGATATCAAAATAATACTGGCTTCATGGAATAAATTTCTAGATAGTGTTCTTTCGATTTCTTCCTAGACAGTTTGACAGAATTCAGTTGCGAATCATTCTGGTCATAGGCTTTCGCCAAGGGGAGACTTAATCATAACTTCAATCTTACTGTTTATAAAGGGTTGCTTTAAGTTAATTGTATCTTCAGAATTGAATTTTAATAGGTAATACAGATTTGGAAATTGTTCTGTTTCTCCTTGGTTATCAAGGTTTTCAAGTTTTCATTTTCATAGTAATCTCCTAATAGTGCTTTGTTTTTTTTTTTTAAATTGTGTCTTCTTCTTCCTTCTTTATTTTTTTGTTGTTTTGAGTCAGTCTCTTTATGTAGCCCTGGCTCTACTAGAGGTCCTCACTATGTAGACCAGGCTGGCCTCAAAATCAGAGATCCTCCCGCCTCTTCCACCATACTGGGCTCCCTCTTTTGTGTCCTACTGGCTAAAAGTTTGTTAATCTTACTAACTTTGTCAAAGATACAGCCTTTGCCACAATTTTGTATGTTTTTCTTTTAATTTCCTGTTAATTAATTTCCCCCCTATTCTTTAATTATTATTTGCAGTCTATATTTGGGATGGGCCACTTGTTTTAGCAAGCAAAGATATCAAAAATTTAATATAAACAATGGAAAACTACCATGTATTGGAAAATATAAATACACAAGCAGAGCTATCCTTGTATCAGATACAAATGTATTAAGTCTGGGTTTCTAAGTTACAGAACCAATAGGGGAACAGAATGTAGAGTGGTTTATAGGCTTTGGTTCAACTAGTTAACAATGGTTAACAACACAACAATAACAACAACGAATCCCTCCCCCCCACAAAAAAAAATCCCAGAAAGTGCAAGAATGCAGTAGTTGTTCAGTCCAGGAGGCTGGATGTCTCCACTGGTCCTAAGTATATGCAGCATCAAAGAGTAAGCTCTAATACCAGTGAAGCGATGAGGGCAAACAGGCAAAGAGCAAGAACTTTATACCCTTTATATAGGCTACCTAAAAAAGGCATGACCCAGATTTAAGGTGGATCTTCCCACCCTGAGATCTGGATTTAGGGTGGTTCTTTCCACTTCAAATGATTTAATTAAGGGGGAAAATTTTTCTGACAGAGTACCTTGCTGCTTAGCCCCCCCCCCCCCCCGCAGATATACATAGTTGACAACCAAGAATTGTTATCAGAGGGCACCACAAATTAATAGAGGAAATAATTCAAAGTATGACAAAAGCAAACACTTATGGACCAAATAATCACAGGACAGCTATGTAACTAGGCCATTATTGCACTGAATACTATAGGAAACTATAATACAAAGTATTTGTACATCTAAATATAGAGCAAGAAACCCACTCAGAGAAGTCAGTTTGCACTTTGAGCACACTAAGAAAAAAATAGATTTAAGCTTACCAAAGCAAATGATCACATCTTTATTAACTGCTAATTAGAACTAACCATTGCTTAAAATAGATGAAAAGTAACAGATGCTAGGTTGACTAGAGAAAAAACAAACAAACAAAAAAACCCACCCCTCATATCTATAACATTTGTAAGTGCCCAGGAATATTCCCACACTCAGTATTGCCAGTCACTCCACACATGATGGTTAGAACCAGAAGTCCTAATGTACTTTCTAATGCCAAGTTTGTATGGAAAATGGTCCTGGTCACTGTTTGATAGTCTGTTGCAGAGCTGATCTACTACAGCTTTATGAATCCACTGTATCTGAGAAGTATGTTCATCAAACTGATGAGCAGTTTTTATAACTGCACTAAAAAATCTCAAACACCTGCAGCCAGGTATGATCAACAGAAATGGTTCAAGTCTTCCCCCAAATGGTTAACAACGTAAGATATAACCAACACTTCAAAAATTAAATGAAGAGTTACTAAGTCCATTATGTAATATCGGATCTCTTGCCAACTTAACCACTTCTTCAAACATTCTAACAGCTTTGTCATGGAATTTACATTTACTTCTACAATCAGTGAGATGAAGAAAATGTTTCCAAAGAACTCTTTTGAATCTGAAAGGGCTTTTATGGAATGGGAATAAACAAACTTTTTTTTCTTTTTAGTTTTCCAAGACAAGGTTTCATTATGTAGCCCTGGCTTTCCTGGAACTCATGCTGGCTGTCCTGAAATATGCTCTATAGACCAGACTAGCATCAAACTCATACATCAATATAAACAGTGTATATATATGGTACATATAAAGCCCAATTAGATGAAAAGAAAATCTCAAAAATATTTCTTCTAAAAAAGGTGTCAATTCTTTCCACCTTTATTCAATCAAATGCTTGCATTCTTAGTAGTAGAGTAAGATAAAAAGTACAGAAAGGAAACAATATCAAATATTCCTATTTGAAAATAACCCTATAAATGATTCGAAAGATTCCACCAGAAAACTTAGACACGACATTTACAATAGAGTGCAAAATGAACTCGCAAAAATTACTAGATTTTACATATACTAAGCATTACATAGTAATTTTTTATATACAAATAGTGAGCACATGTGAGAAATAAATTAGGAGAACAATCCTATAGACCACAGCCTCAAAACAAAATAAAATAGGAATACAACCAATTATGTAAGTCAAATATCTTTACAATGAAAACCTTGTGTAACACTGAAGAAACAGTAGACATCAGAAGACAGAAAGACCTTTTATATTCTTCATTTCACAGAATTTGTTTTTTTGTTTTGGTTTTTTGAGACAAGGTTTCCTGTGTAGCTTTGGAGCCTATCTTGGAACTAGCTCTAGTTGACCAGACTGATCTTTGAACTCACAGAGATCCACCTGCCTCTGATTAAAGGCATGTGCTACCACTGCCTGGCTTTTAAATTTTTGTTTGTTTTTGAATTTTTTAGGGTTTCTCTGTGTAGCCTTGGAGTCTGTCTTGTAACTAGCTTCACACACCAGCCTGTCCTGGAACTCAGAGATTGCCTTCTTCTCACTCCAGAGAGCTGGGATTTTTGAAGAGTGTTTTGGATATTCTACGAATTGTAGAATTCTTTGAAGAAATTTGAAGTTTTTCAGATTTCAGTGGGGATTGAGTTCAAGCTTTGGGTTGATTTTAATAATAGAGCCATTAACTAATTCTAATTCTGCTGGGGTGGTGGTGGCACACGCCTTTAATTCCAGCACTCAGGAGGCAGAGACAGGCAAGGATCTAGAATACATAAAGAACTCAAAATTAAACACTAAAAAATAGTACCATAAGTAAGTGAACAAATGAACTGAGCAGACATTTTTGTTGCTTTTTAAAAAAACCGGTCTCCCTGTGTAGCCCTGGCTATGCAGAAACTTGCTATGTAGACCAGGCTAGCTTCCACCACAGAGAGACACTTGCCTTGGCCTTCCAGGTGCTTAGATTAAATGCATGTACCACCATACCTAGAAAGCACACAATTCTTAAAAAGTACAAAAGACCCATAAATATATGAGAGAATAACTCAATCCTTTAGCTAAGAGGAAAATGCAAAGAAGTTCTAACTCCTGGCAGTCAAAATTGGAATTATTAAGAAATAAAGATAAATAAACTATAAATGTTGTCAAGGTTGTATGGGAAATTGCAGGGAATGAAAATTAGTATAGCCATTTCAGAAATATGAGGTTCTTCAAAATACTAAACTAGAATTCGCTATCCCACCTCTCAGTTATAACCATTTTTCTATAGTTTCTTGGTTTTGTCCAAACTAGTATTTTTTTGTTTTGTTTTTTTTGAGACAGGGTTTCTCTGTATTGTTTTGGAGCCTGTCCTGGCTGGAACTCGCTCGGTAGACCAGGCTTGGTCTTGAACTCACAGAGATCTCCTGCCTCTGCCTCCCGAGTGCTGGGATTAAAGGCATGCGCCACCACCGCCCGGCCCATCGGGATACTCTTACCAAAGGCAACTCATTTTGCATTTTCATCCACCTTACAGAATTTCTCTTCTGCTTAGTCCTCTTGGGGATGCTGGGAGACTTCTTCCTTTTCTTGGCACCACCATTGAGTCTCAACACAGGATGAAAGGGGCACTCCTTTTGAATGTTGCAGTCAGACAAAGCATGGCATTGTCCAGCTGCTTACCAGCAAAGAGCAGGCTTTGCAGATCAGGAGGAAATCCTTCCTGAACCTGATCTTGGTTTTTGCATATTCTATAGCATCTGAAGATGTAACCTCAAGGGTCTTTTCATAAGGGTCTTTATGAAAATCTGCATGCTGGTGGTGTTTCGATCATAGTCAATCAGGAAGCCAAAACCTGATTTCTTTCTAAAAGCAATTGGCCTTAGTATTTTGAAACAGTTATAGAAAAAAAAATCACTCCTAACTCAAGTTTCAACATCGCCATGGAAAACTAAGGACTGGTTTAGCACATAATCTTTAGAAAACAAGATCAATGAATGTTAAAAAACAAAACGTAAGAAAGCAAGTAATAGGGGTTTAAACAGTACTTACTGCACCAGATGCTGCACCTAAAAGACAAAATATTTACAATAAGTGAAGTGTTCTTTAACAGTTCCTTTCTTTCTTTCTTTTCTTTCTTTTCTTTCTTTCTTTCTTTCTTTCTTTCTATTCTTATTTAGCTTATGAGCAGTCCCATATTACCTATTTACTTGCATACCATTCCACAAATAAAACATCAATAACATAAGGCATTTTCAATCTCCAAAGTTAACTGTCAGCTGCCAAAATGAAAAACATTCACCTTGCTTTCTGGCTACTCTGTCAATCTCACTTAAATTCCTTTCTTTCTTAGCCGGGCGGTGGTGGCGCACGCCTTTAATCCCAGCACTCAGGAGGCAGAGGCAGGCGGATCTCTGTGAGTTCGAGGCTGGGCTGGACCAACAGCCTCAAAAACAATACAGAGAAACCCTGTCTCGTAAAAACCAAAAAAAAAAAATTCCTTTCTTTCTTATGTATGCTATTAAAGTATAATAATGTCTCTATTTTCTAACTTTTGCCAAACTCATTTACTTTGATCCTATGCATGTGCTATTGTGTCTCACAGTACCCTTGAGACACCACACACTCCTGCTTAAAATTTAAATCATAAATAAATAACTTTTTAAAAAGTGGTTCCTCAATTATACTAGCCAAATTTCATACTCGATTATTAGCTAGCAGCAACCATATGATAGTATGTATAGCTTACAGAACAGTTCCACTATTGCAGAAAGTTTTGTTAGTGCCCTAAACTACCATATATACACATATATGTACACACACACACGAAACCCTTTATAATGTAAGGGATTTTCAGGTGCTTGGTAGTGACAAAACTCATAAATAATGTCTAACTTTAGAAACTAGTCAACTTATAATTTTAAGTAAAAGAAAAAGCAAAGATTAAAACAACACAAAGGTTCACATATATGGAAAGCATTCAATTAGCTATGAGTATCAACAATAGAACCAAAGCATTTGAAAAGTAAGTTGACTTCAAAGACTAAGGGGGTAGCAACAACAAAAATGACTGTGAAGTAGCCCACAAGTCCATGACAAGAAGATACTTCACATCTACCAAGTGAAGCTACAACTTCTTCCTATGTTCCCTAAGTAGAAATAGAAATATGGACTCATTAGAGTTCATTCATTGTACAAATAATCTCTGAGCCCTGATTATGTTGACAGGATTGTTAAATACTGAAATTCAGATCAAATGTTTCAATATAAATTCTAAGTATTTACTTATAATTGCAAAATATGAAAATTATGATAATCAAAGACTTTGCACTTAATATATCTGATTTAAGAAAACAATTATAAATGCTATCTGTTTCCTTTTGGTTTTGAGAACATATTAACCAGTCATAAAGATCAGTTTAAAAAACTGTCTAATTTTAGGTGCATGAATGGTTTGTCAGAATACATGTATGTACAGCGCATGCATGTCTGATGCCAGAGGAGGAGGCCAGAAGTCATCAGATCCCTGTGAAGCCAGAATTATAAATGGTTGTTAACCATGTGACAATGGGAAATGGATGCCAGGTCCTCTGACAAAATAGCAAGTGCTCTTAACTACTGAACCCTCTCTTCAGCCCCAGATAACCAATTTCATTCCTTGTTATAATGAAGTCCACCATACACCGTAGACATACCTGCTGCTACATCCATACTATTTACTCCAGGCTGCAAAAAGAGAAATAAAATTATTACCATTCAAATCATTTGAACTACATTTTATAGAAAAAAAGGTATAATGAATCAGTTCCATGGATAATCTATAAGCTTAACAACTGTAAAACTTCTAGTGGTTTCAACTCTCAGGCTTGCTATACATTTCAAGAGATCAATAAAGTTGGGGCAATGTTAGCATTTTAAGATATTACATGGTTATCAATTGTATGCAGACTTACAACCCTTTCCTCTAAATTCTAAAATCTACAAAGTTCTGAAAATCAAGTCTTATTAATTAATCAACAAAACTTACCAATACTAATATATTAGAAACAGGGTCTTGGACTCCACAGGATATTTTTGTAGTGTAGTAAATGCAAACATTAGTAAATATACTAGTTTGATTAAAACACTAAAATCTTAACTATTCCAAAGTATGCCATACCCATTCATTAAAACCAACAGGCTCTCAGGAAATAAAGACAACATACATAAACATTAATATCATGGTTATTTATGTATCATCAAATTACTATCTAAGTATGACAGTAAGTCTATTCAAAAACATTCTAAGTTAATTTGCAATAGGTTTCAATAAAATGGGGATTTCAAATTAAGTAAACTTGAATATCATTTTTTACTAGCATTTAATAACTAAAATGTCACCTCTGAAAATATTACAAGACAATCTCATTGGTTTTCTCTCACAACCTGTTTAAATGGCTTGTTTACTACAGAATTAATTAAATCATTGAACATGTATGTATGTTGCAATGTAATGCTCAATTACAATTTTCATTCATTTTAGTTTTGGGGTGGCCTATAAAGTACATGCACAGTATTCATATATGAAAGAAATCAAAACTCAAAATTATTTTCACAAGATTACCAACCGGTAAGGCAGGTTGCATGGACGCCTGAGACATATGAGACATCATCATTCCTGACATTACTGAAGACATCATTCCAGGCATCTAAAATAAAAGTTAAAAAAATGGTCAGCATGTAAGAGCAAGACACTTTATAGGACTGTAGATATAGTTCAAGAATATAAATTACAACTATGCTATTGTATTATATGAATAATATGCTTAGTAAGTGCTTGTTGAATGAATGAAGTATTCTATAATGATCCTGTTCCAATACCTACACCATAATTCATTTCTATGGTAAAAAATACTTTAAATAAATTCAGAAGAACAGACTATACTAGTTTAACTTAAACTTGTTTACTTTTATTTTTAATTGAACATTGTTTCTTCTTTCTTTGAAACAAGAGAATATAAGACAAAATTTTTCAGTATTTTCACCTTTTATTCTTAATCTGTACTGAATAAAATTTTATAGTAATCTGGCTCTTTTCACAATATAAGATCTAAACATTGACTTAAAATATAAGTAAACCCCTTTAATCTTAAGCTATATATATAAATTACATAAATAACTGGACATACTGGTTTGAAAATTTAGTCTACTAATGACTACAATTAAAATCTGAAAACGTACTAAGCATGAATAAAATTCAGAAAATTTTCTAAAGGATTTGAGCCAATATTCATCTATATTACATAAAATAAAATATGTAGTCCCATATTAGAATTCTGACTTTAATATGGAGTATCAAAAGTATCTGAGAAACTTGTAGGGTAACAATAACTGTAATAACCATAGGTACTGGACATGGAAACTGGTTAGTCAAGTTTCAAATTAAATAAATGAACAAGTTAAAAAATAGGAAAAGTATAAGCATTGTTCAATATTAAAATATAAAATTAGGAAAGATTATATGTGCAGGGTTTTTTTTTGTTTGTTTGTTTCTCAAGACAGAGTTTCTCTGTAGCTTTGGTGCTTGTCCAGCTTTAACAGCTGTAGAGGAACTCACTCTGTAGACCAGGCTGGCCTCGAACGGTCTCTGCAGATCGAGTGTAGGGATTAAAGGTGTGCTCCACCACTACCAAGCTCCATGTGCAGTTTTATTACTTGTTAAAACTCAATGTAAAACAGGCTTGCATGTGGACTTGCATGGGGTTAACTGATTTTTAAAAAGGACTAAAATTATTTAAACTTCTGGACTGAAATTTTGATTAGAAGAATGTGATGGGTTACTTGGAAACATATGGTCAAAACAATATTTTCATAAAAAGCACAGAATTTGAAAACAAGCAGGAACACCTCCAAAACTTAACTAGGAGATTAAAGAAACAGCATACATCTTGGAAAAAAGCAGCAGCAAACAAAGAAGAATTATGTTCGCTTCCAAAACCATCTACCCTTCAAAGATTCATGTCTCACCTGTGCTTTAGGAAACAACAGTAAACTGAATAGGTAACTTGTCACAAGAAAGCACTTCAAAAGCACAATGGGAAAATCTAAAGTGGCATGTCTGTCTGTCTGTCTGTCTGTCTGTCTGTCTGTCTGCCTACCTATCTACCTATCTACCTATCTATCTACCTATCTACCTATCTACCTATCTACCTATCTACCTATCTACCTATCTACCTATCTATCTATCTATCTATCTATCTATCTATCTATCTATCTATCTATCTATCTATCTGGAGCTACATTCCAAACTAGAATCCTAAGATAATTTGTGAAGTGGAAGCTTAACATAAAATACAAAAAATACTTTTTAAAAAGTACAGTTAAAAAAATAAGTAGAATAAGAAGAAAAATCTCCACTAACTTAAGAGACCATTCATAGTATCAATAGACTGAGCAAGCTACTATAACTTAAGTTGAACTATCAAAAATCGCATTAAAGCCGGGCGTTGGTGGCACAGGCCTGTAATCCCACCACTCTGGAGGCAGAGGCTGGCGGATCTCTGCGAGTTCGAGGCTAGCCTGGTCTACAAAGCAAGTTCCAGGACAGCCTCCAAAACAATACAGAGAAACCCTGTCTCGAAAAAAAAATTGCAATTAAAAAAAGTCACAAAATTCCTATAATAGAGGTGCAAAATTTCAGTCAGATCAAAGAGACAGCAAATATTCAAATCATATAAATAAGAGTTGTTTTTTTCACTGCCCTTCCTATTTCTTACATTTCAAAACACTTTTAAATGGTTCATGAATGTGGATTTCAGTTATGGTTAGAAAATAAGATGATAGGAAATACAGAGCCACAGTCTTTTTCAGCATTTTCCGTAAGTCCTGGTAGGCAGAGCCTAGTTACACTTGCTTTACCTGACAGGGCTACCTATGAGCTTTTAAAATTTTATGTAATTAAATTCTACAAGTAAAACTGATGGTATATGAAACAAAAGAGCATCAGTATTCAGGATACTATATTTCATATAATTCATATAATTTCATAATTCTTGACAGCACCCCCAATTTGAGACTAGTCGATATCTATTTGCTGTTTTAACATCACAGTGTTAATGAAAGTAATCCAGGCTTTAAACTTAAAGAACAGTGGCCTGTGTTTTAAATCCTAAGCATTGGTTTATCTTCTCTTCGAAAACCAAAACTGAGATAGCCAAGTCTCTTTGTTGTCTTTGCCATAGTTAGTTAACGTTTCTTGCATCACATGGAGGGTTTAGCCAGCTCTAACTGTGAAGCCTTTTAGATTTTCTATTTGGGGAGTCGCCCCCCAATTGTTACATCTTTAAATTCCATAAAATGATATTTGCTAAAAAGGAAAAATTCTTATCTTAGTTGCTATGATAGTGCCACAACAATTTCATAAAACACATAATTTTCTAAGTACAAATGATCATTCACATTAGCTTAATGTGAAATGTATTATAAAATCAAAACATGTTACTTTTTCCATTTTTATGACTTTAGCCAATATATAAAGTACTATATAATAAATAAAACTTTTAGATATTAAGATCAGATACACAGGGTTTGGGGAAAAGCGAATCAAAGGAGTAAGAGCCAATGCTTCTAAAGAGAAGGGGGAAGGTTTTTTTTTTCAGGATGTATTCAATCCAGGTATTGTGAATAACCCTTTTAGTAAATCCCTACTAGCCAAGGAAGGAAAAACAAAAATTCATAGTAAGTATGGACAACCTACCCAACAAGATCTTGCCTAAAAACAAAAATACAACTGCAGATATACAATTAATAGTAGAGCACTTGTCTGTTATACATGAGGGCTTATATTAAGTATCCAGTACTGGGTAGATACTTAGAAGAAGCAAAATTTTGAGGACAATAAATCAGTGAGTAAAAACAAGTGCCTACCACACAACCTATTCAATTACTCTTACCATTCCAGATAATTAGATATAAATAAGTGTTTTATTTACTACTTTGTGTACTTTAAAAATAAAAAAATAACACTAATAAAAGCAGAATGGATGCTACAGAAATTAAACAAGGGGCTGGAGAGATGGCTCAGCAGTTAAGAGCCCTGACTGGTCTTCCAGAACCCTGGTTCAATTCCCAGCACCTACATGGAGACTCACAATCATCTGTAAGTCCAAGCACAAGGGATCAGATGTTCCTATCTCAAAATAACAAAAAACAAATTAAAAAACAAAACAATATGAAGTCAATATAGTTTCTGATATATATATAATATTTTTATAACTTGTTAGAAAATATTTACTAAGACAACTCCCTGTGCCTGGTTTAGTTTACTAAATATAACCTACAGAATTTAGAAATTAAAAAGTAAGTGAAGTATTCCCTTCCACCTCTTATCTGTGTTTCGCATAACATATTCAGTAACCAATGGTCAATGTAGGTCTGAAAATATTACATGAAAACTTTAGCAACATTGTGTGTGTACAACTTCAAGGAACTCTCACTTTACTTAGTAACGCTCCAAACCTAAGTATAGCGAGAATGCAAAGGAGTTATCAGGACCCCTTTCTAAGGACAGACAAATTGTAGCAATGTATTTCAACACAGCAGGGCATTTAAGAAAAAAACAAAAACAGTAAACACAGGTATATATTTCAGTTTCAGGAATCCACAGGAAACCTGGGAACATACATACCCAATAACAGAGCATTTTATAGCCACCCTTCATGCTCGGAGGAGGTTAACTCGATTACATCTTAGAATTTTAAACAGAGAAGCAGCCCAGCACAGATACTAAGTCAGATTAGCAGAATTCCTATCCTAGCCTGACTACTTAACAGCTTTGGGATCTTGGACTGTTTTGACATTGACCTCTCTAGACCTCAATTTCTCATCAATAGGAAAATGTGACCTGACAGTATTTATTGTAATCAATGAAATGCAAAAATGAATGCAAAGCAATTAAAAATACTGCTCAACCAAAGATATAACAGCTACTAGAGTTAGTTGTCTCACAGTATCATGGTTCTAGTACCACCTAAAGGATAACAAAAATCTACAAATGCTTTATAATCTATGCAGAATCCTGGTAAATTCTAAATATCTAGAATTCTTGTATTACTTAATAACTATGACATGCTACAGTTTTTATATTGCAAAAATGCCTGAAAACATTCGATATAGACATAAATCTTCCTCTAAATATTTTTGAATGATCAATGGTTGAATCTATGTGCAGCACCTGAAAACATAAGATCAACCAACAGTACTTTATTATCACTGTTCTTAACCTTTTACAATGAAGGAAGCTTCTATGTAACCCTTTCCCTCAGTCATTCCTTGTTTATTTCTCAGGGGTTTGTTGTTGCTGTTTTGTTTTCCTCATTAAAGGTATATAATGAACAGCAAAAACTTTTTACGGTTAATAGAAATCAATAATACATGTAATAAGAAGTCAATCCCAGATTTAGTATCAAACTTAATGCTGGCTCTGCAATGTTAGTATACAGTTCATTTAACTCCCTAAACAATCCAGCTACCAAATATAACCTAGAATAATAGAGCCAACTCAGTTTCAGAAAAGGGGATTAAATTCAGTAAGGTATATGAATTTTTCAAAGCTTATACAGAATTATAATCCTTTATAACAGGCAACATAAATTTAGAAATGTAGTTGAATGAAAATGAGTACCATTATGTTTTTAAGTTCTAAATTCAA